CAGATAGACAGATAGATAGATAGATAGATAGATAGATAGATAGATAGACGGACAGACAGACAGACGGACGGACAGACAGAGAGATGGATAGATAGATAGATAGATAGATAGATAGATAGACAGACAGACAGACAGACAGACGGACGGACGGACAGACAGACGGATAGACAGAGAGATGGATAGACAGACAGACAGACAGATGGATGGACAAACAGACGGACAGATAGATGGACAGACAGGCAGATGGATGGCCAGGCAGACGGATATAGAGACAGATGGATAGAGAGAGATAGATGGACAGACAGACAGGCAGATGGATGGACAGGCAGACGGATATAGAGACAGATGGATAGAGAGAGATAGATGGACAGACAGACAGGCAGATGGATGGACAGGCAGACGGATATAGAGACAGATGGATAGAGAGAGATAGATGGACAGACAGACAGACAGATGGATAGAGAGAGATAGATGGACAGACAGATGGATAGAGACACAGATAGATGGACAGACAGACAGACAGATGGATGGACAAACAGACGGATAGAGAGACAGATAGATGGACAGACAGACAGATGGATGGACAGGGAGACGGATATAGAGACAGATGGATAGAGAGAGATAGATGGACAGGCAGACAGACAGATGGATAGAGAGAGATAGATGGACAGGCAGACAGACAGATGGATAGAGAGAGATAGATGGACAGGCAGACAGACAGACAGTAATAAAACTGAATACAGTCCAAACTCTGAATGTGCTCAGCAGCTGCATATAACATTGTCTTTCTCTCTCTGTAATAAAACAGCAGTCACTGAAGGCCAAACAGAAGCAGTGGAGCTGATTCACACGCAGTCGTCTAACAGTATGTGGACGAGCATATTCCCTCATGGGGCGCTACACAAACAAACCCTAAAAATACAACAGCGCATCATCGCATGCTGCTAATGAGGGCCCATCAAATGCATGCGAGTCTCCTCCAGTGCGAGCAGCTCTGGATATTCTATTATCATGGTCCACGAGCCTCTTTCGCCCCGCGAGACGCAGAGACGCTCCTCAGATGTTGTCACTGTAGATATATGAAACGAGCCCCACACACAGAAGCAATTCGAGAGTCTGCTGCTTTCACATCTCGACCCTCCGGCAATAAATCCACGTTCACGACTGGCTAACTTCAGCCAACTTAATTCATCTTGAGACGCGCTCGGCGTGCATTAATGCTGTGTTGTATGTACTTTAATAAGACATTTTTCATCTGCACAATCAAGCGGCGCTCAGGCCGACTCCGCGTTTCTCCTTAATTCTGCCTCTGCCTCACAGGAAGACATTAATGGTTTCATTTCCTGCTGTTATCTCCTGATTAATGTTTCCTTCTTCAATTGTGTCTGTGTCGCTGCATTTTAGCAGGAAGCCACTGAACAGAAGCTCTGACAGCGACGTGACGGGATCGTGACATTATCACGGAGGAAATGACACCTGATTTTAGGGCTTTTCTAAAAAAACTAACTTAGGACATGAACAAACTACATAAAAGCTGAATCAATCACACGGGAGACACGTCCCACAATGCTCTGCTCCGCTGCTGACTCATTAATTAAAAGAGGCAAATCAATTCTCTAATTTATCTTTATTCCACAGAGCAGGGCTGAACAGAAGCTTTCTCTTCAGAATAGAAAACATCATTTAACTTGAAAACCTAATTGAGACTTTTTATTTCACAAATCTCACTTTACACCTCGCAATTCTGACTTTATAACACAAAATTCTAAATCTGTGTCTCACAATTTTGACTTCATATCTTGCTATTCTGAGTTTATATCTTGAAATTCTGAATATATATTTTGAAATTCTGAATTTAAATCTTGAAATTCTGAATATATATTTCGAAATTCAGAATTTAAATCTTGCAATTCTAAGTTTGTATCTCAAAATTTTTAAGTTATATTTCGAAATTCTGACTTTAAATCTTGCAGTTCTGAGTTTATATCTTGCAATTCAGTAAAAAAAAAAAAGTTTATTGCAACTTTGTATCAAGCAATTCTGACTTATTTTCTCAGAATTGCAAGGGAAAAAGCCTGAATTGGGAGATAAAAAGTCACAATTACTTATTTTATATTTTCTAAAAAATGTGTTGTCTTTTTTATTTTATTTTATTATTGATTTATTTATTTTCATTTTATTTATTCATTTATTTATTTCTAGCAAAACAAGCGTCTATAGGGCTGTTTCTTGAAGCTGGCAAGAAAAGAAAATGCGGTCTGTTTTCTATATGCATGTTATGGATCCTACTGTGAAGTTTTGTTCTCAGAAATGCAAGAAGGAAGTCCTAATTTTGAACTTTTAACCTAATTTAACCTCAGAATTGTGACCCCAAAAAAATGTAATAAAAGCACTATACAATAATCTTATTGTATGCATTCTCATTAAATGATGGTGGGTGAGTTTTTAGGTAAACTAGTCCTGTAATGTGTCAGTTAGTGGTTGTTTCTCAGTATACAGCACTGCAAACTCATTCCAGTGACAGAGAAAGGCAGTGGTGTGTTATTTTGTGTTATCTCCGGGTTAATAGCTGATCAAAGCAGATGTTGTGTCACATTTATTCATTTAGCAGATGCTTTTATCCAAAGCGACACGGGCAGATGGTGAATAAAAGAGAGCTAAACAGAAATGAACACTAATTTGGTCAGCGGACACATTTGAGGCGGTTAAGTGTGCTGAGCTCTGAGTGTCAAAACATTGTTATGCTGGCCGCTAATTAACACACACACACACACACTCGAACCTGTTATTCACTCGCTGTCACTCTCACTGAAGAGTTTAATTAAAGCTGCTGGTTTTCTCAGGTAGGTTAATCGGATCTAATAAGGCTCCTGACAGGTCGGCTGCTTTATGAAGCTCGTTTGGATCACCTAGGCAATGAACTCAACCCATCTGACCATACCAAACACATCATACAATCCACACCAAGAAGTCATGAATCAGCTGAAAGAACCAGCCATCACTCATTAGCGTGCAGCTTCGTTTGGCAGACGGACAGCAATTACACCAGCTCTTCTGTCAGACTTCAGCTTGGAGAATAATTGGTGTAACAGCATGAACCAGAATGTGTATGTGTGAGTGTGTGTGTGTGTGTGTGTGTGTGTGTGAGTGTGTGTGTGTGTGTGTGTGTGTGTGTGTGTGTGTGTGTGTGTGTGTGTGTGTGTGTG